AATTTATGACCCGTTAGGCTTTATTTCACCTATCACATTTTATTGCAAGCATTTAATTCAGAAATTATGGCGTTCTGGGTTAGATTGGGATGTAGTTCCAGATGAGTCTATTACTCAACTTTGGGAACAATACCAGTCAGAATTACCTTTGCTTGCCGATTTAAAAATTCCTCGTCAATATTCTACGTTAATTTCATATTCTAATTATTGTCAATTCGAACTTCATGGGTTTTGTGATTCTAGCGAACGAGGCTATAGTTGTGTAATATATTTTCGTATTAAAGACGAAACAGATGCCGTTCAAGTATCATTTATTTGTTCCAAATCTAAAGTCGCACCTACCAAGAAACTTACTATCCCTCGCTTAGAGCTTTGTGGAGCCGTTCTGCTGACTAAATTAATTCTTTATGTTAAAACGAATTTTTGTAACCAAATTAGCTTTATAAAAATTCGCGCGTGGTGCGATTCTCAAATCGTACTGCATTGGATAAAGGGATGTCCCAATCGCTGGAAAACTTATGTCGCCCACAGGGTATCTTTCATTCAAGAAAATCTCTCTCCTGATAATTGGTCGTATGTGAATACTGCTATTAACCCCGCAGATATAGCCTCGCGAGGGGCTCTTCCTTCCCACTTCTTAACCTATAAATATTGGTTAACCGGTCCTGAATTTCTTTACGAAGATGAAAGTTCTTGGCCTACCTTCCCATCTTCTGCTAATGAGGTTACGCTTCCCAAAGAAGAACAACGTAAAATGATATTATTTTCAACATTACTCAATCATAACAATGAGAGTTTTGTAATTTCTATGCTTGAAAATTATTCTTCTTTGACTACTATTCAAAATATTTTAAGTTTCATCTTGCGCTTTATCTACAATTGTCAACACCCGCTTTCTAAACATTGTGGCATATTTTCCACCGACGAATTGTATTCGGCCCTTCTTGTTTTGGTAAAAACTACTCAATATACTCACTTTCAGGAAGAAATTGAGTCCAAACGTTTTTCTAAACCTCTACGTAAGTTGAATGTTTTTTTAGATGATAACAATATTCTTAGAGTGGGAGGTCGACTGCATAATGCATCTATATCTTATTCATCTAAGCACCCCATATTATTACCTAGACAAAGTCTATTAACTACACTCGTCATTCGCCACATTCATGAAAAGTATTTTCATGCTAGCTTTAGAAGTACTCACTTCTTACTAGCTCAACAGTTTTGGGTTCTATCCTCAAAACGAGCCATTAACTCAGTGATTTCGAAATGTTTACGCTGTTGGAAAACATCTCCTACCTCTTATCAACCCCCCAATGGGAAATTTGCCGCTGTCTCGAGTGTCTGAGGTAAAACCTTTCGGTCGCTCCGCTGTTGATTTCGCAGGCCCATTTAATATAACTATTAGTCGTCACAGAGGAGTAAAAAGTTGCAAAGCTTACCTCTGCATTTTTGTCTGCTTGGCTACCAAAGCTGTACATTTGGAACTTGCCAGTGATTTATCTACACCAACATTTTTAGCCGCTCTACAAAGATTTATTGCAAGGCGTGGAAAAGTCTCACAGATATACAGTGATTGTGGCACAAATTTTATGGGTGCAAAACGCGAATTGCTTTCTCTTATGGAACAGGCCAGCGCAAGTGAAACTATTCAATGGTTTCCTAGCCCCGCCGGAGCTCCTCACTTTAATGGTCTAGCCGAAGCTGGCGTTAAAAGTGTTAAAACTCACCTTCGCCGCGTCGTAGGTGATCAAATTCTCACATTTGAGGAATTCTATACAGTTCTGACACTTATAGAATCCATATTAAATTCTAGACCACTAGTTGCCATATCTAATGATGTCGACGATATCAACGCCTTAACGCCCGGTCATTTCTTGACCATGGAACCTTTAACCGCATTTCCCGTTCCCAGTTTCGAACACGTCCCCCTAAATCGCCTTTCTAGGTGGCAATTGTTACAGCGCATCCATCAAGATATTTGGCGTCGCTGGCATAAAGAATATTTGCATACCCTACAGCAGCGAGCCAAATGGTTAGACCCTGCTAACACCCCCAAACTTGGTACTTTAGTTTTGGTTAAAACCGATAATTTACCTCCTAATAAATGGTTGTTAGGCCGTGTTACTCAACTGCATTTTGGTAATGATAACATAGCCAGAGTAGCTACGGTAAAAACACAAAATTTTATTTTAAAACGGCCATTGGTAAAACTGTGTCCACTACCTAATAATTAATTTTTTTTTTATATGCTACCTGTAGTATTTTATAATTGTTTTTTGGTTTAATTCTATTATTTGAACTTTCCTTTTTTTTGCTTTAATATTTAGTTTTTATTTTGGGGAATTGTCTAATCAGTTTAAAAATGTATTATTTACATTTTTTCGGGGCAGGAAATGTTCCAGAATGAATTAATTCCTATTTTATTATTTAAATATTCGCGCTTTGTCTCAAATCGCTTACTTAAAACTTTGGCCCACACATGCGCTTCGTCTGACTGTAAGACAAGTGAAACGCCGTTGGACGAAGAGTACTACAGAAATTGCCGCGACGAACGCTTTGTGGTGTGTATGTGTCGTTAAATCCGCTATTATAAATCCTGTATAATAAACGTTGTTATATAAATTGTGTAACCGGGCCCGGTCTTGGCTACTGGACTAATACTATCACCTACTTCATCCGACGAACCATATGATGCAGCACAGAAGGTAAGCGCGTTTGAGACACGTTTATCTTATTTTTTTTCGACTGTTACAATCAGCCCCTTTTTTACGTAATATTCCAATCATTCTATTACAAATAATAATAATAATAATAATAATAATAATAATATTAATAATAATAATAATAATAATAATAATAATAATAATAATAATAATAATAATAATAATAATAATAATAATAATAATAATAATAATAATAATAATAATAATAATAATAATAATAATAATAATAATAATAATAATAATAATAATAATAATAATAATAATAATAATAATAATAATAATAATAATAATAATAATAATAATAATAATAATAATAATAATAATAATAATAATAATAATAATAATAATAATAATAATAATAATAATAATAATAATAATAATAATAATAATAATAATAATAATAATAATAATAATAATAATAATAATAATAATAATAATAATAATAATAATAATTCACCCCCTTACGAGTGAATTTCAACCCGTGAAGTCGACTGAACGACTTGTGTAGGGGAAGGGACGGCTATTATTATTATTATTTGCCATGGCGCTCCGGGGCGACTTAAAGATGATTGATGGTGCCATTTGACTTACAGGTGAGGAAAACCCGAAAAACCTCACCCACCATCATCGAGACGGTAATGCATGGCGATTTTTTATTCTGCATGTCATATCAATAAAAATTGAATTTCTATTAATATGGCACACATCAAATCCTAAACCGAACCATGCAATTTAATTAAAAATCCACATGGTCTGGTCTGGGATTCGAAGCCCAGCAGCAGTCTCAGACTCATAAACTTGCCTATAAATGAATATAAGCGCGTTAGACCGCTACACTACCGACCCGATAGTCCTGTCCTTTAATGGGTAAGTTTTATTAGGTTTCCTACGAGTCTTGCAAGACCTCAGTAGCTATGTACAAGTTTAATCTACTGTTCTTCGTCGATATAGTACCTAACGTTTTGGCCAAGATCCAGTTTATGCAAATTGCGGACCTTGAAGAATTTACCTTTATATACGAAAATGATTCGTTACTCAGAATACGGTGTACTGGCTATATTGGAGGATTACATTGGCAAAATTTTGTTTGTTCCATTTCATTTTGGTTTTCTATATTCTTTCTTAGTTTAGTTTCAGATTTTTGATTGTTTTTTTTTTTGACAAAGGTGACTTGCTTTGAAAAAGGTAACTTGCTATACGGCTTAGTTGCGGTCAAAACTATTAGATAACTATTGATTAATTAATTTCTATTATTTGGCAACTGTTTGGTAATTGTTGATTTTACCATCTACCGAGCTCAACTGAGATTTGTCTACAAACATGAATATTTTTGTTGTTCTACCTACAAATAATTCAGGATTTTTAATTCCAACGCTCTAGGTAGATTATTTATCTATAAAAATCTAGCCATAGTAGAATTGGGATCATGAAGACTTTAAATCAGGACATTACATAATACAAATTCATAGTTAAGAAAATGGCGGAACTCGTAACAGATGTTTTAGAACAGAAATTATTTTATAGATGCCCTTAATACTTTCACGTTTTATATTTTAGAAATTTTTAATAGCGTTTCTTCCACTTGATCCTTATTCTGAAATGGACTTAGACAAGGGTATTGATAATATTCCAAAAATGTATGCACATCAAACGACGACATATAATTACAAATAAACTTGTAAAAAACACGTTGTTGTGTATTACCCAAAGCACAGAATATATGAACAATAGTAGTTTTCGCAGTGTAGTTTGAATGAATAATGTATGTTCGCGTGCATTAATTTTCTCAGAGTACCTATATGGTAAAACCATGATGGAACGAACCATGGTGGATCGGAAGGTCCTGAGATTTCTATCCCTTCTATTCATACCTCTTCTACCACTTCTACTACCAAGTTCCGACCGTTCGAATGTCGTATCTGTCAATGTCGCCAACGTTCAGATGATGAAAGCGAGTGGATACTTTTGACGCCAATGTTGTGGAGTGTTGTGTAATGCCACAACAATTGCAAGTTACATATCCAAAAGTTTTGTCACGACATCAAGGCGTTGAGACATTCTGCAATAGTTCTGACTATACTGACGATGGCATTGCGATGGCACTATTACCAAGACGCCCTTTGATGCCACAAAATTTAGTGCCACTACCACCCTTCAGTTTTGCGTCCAACTTCTATTACATAAAAATCTAATTTTTTTGAAAAAAACAAACGATATACTTAATCTAGGTACTTAAAAACAGCACAATAAAAAATATAGGATTTCTGTATTATTTGTCTTATTTCCCTCCTAAAAAAAATCAGTATACACCCACAGGTGTTACTTAAAATTACAGAAGTTTAAAAACGTGCAGAATTCGATGACTTTATGAATGTTTTCCAAAATGAGAACCCATGGGAAGAAAGTCTCTGGCCGTATGTCGAGCATTCTTCTCAGCTTCTTGCGTGTCTCTGAAAAACGTAGCTTGGATTAAAAAGCAAACAGCCACCAGAGCAACCTTCTTCTCCACAGCTAGCTCTTTAGGAAAAGTAATCTCGTACATGTTCAGCTTGGACCATCTCTTCCTGATGCTTCCGATAAATTCCTTATTTTCAAAAACAGTGCCTTCGACATCCTTATCGGTCTTGCATATAAAAGGGAATTTAATTTTCAAAACCGATTCACCACAAGGATTTTTCACGATGTATTTAGGAAATATCTTGCATTTGGTTTCTACTATTGCTGCTAGCTTTTCTAGTGGTAAAAAAACTTTTATACCTGGATAATAACCCTTCTTTTTGCTCAGCCGTATATTCTCGACTATATAGTTGTCGAAAATCTGCAGATCGTACGGAAGACGACCGCAATAAGTGTCCTCTACGGCGTAAAAAATCTGCTCCCCTTCGCAATTTCTTATTATGTATTTGTTTTCGGTTTCTGCGCGGCTTAAAAGGTCGACATCGACGATTACCTTTTCGATGAGCAGCTTGTCGATGTGGCTGAGGTATTCCAAACCGGCCGGATACCTTTCTGAAAAAAATCTTAGTGAGTTTGATGTGGACCTGGGCATGGACAAGTTTGAATGTTTGTTCAATGGTTTTATCTATCAATTATGTGACAGCACAGAACTATGATAACTAGAATAGCTAACCCTGTGGTTGAAAGTGAATTGACATTCTCCTTCTGCTTCTCCTTTTTTTCTTCTTCTTTCTTTTTTCTTATTCCTTTTCATCTTCTTTTTCTTCTTCATCTTAGTCATGAAGTGCAATCAGGTATTTTTTCCAGCACATATTCATATTACTCAAATCCTACTTCCTGTTAAAATTTTCATAAGTTGTTGTTGTTATGTTTCCTACCCTGAATTCGAATTAAATATCGATAAATGTCATTTTTAACTTTTATTATTGGTAGGGGAGCCAGTTATACTATTAGGTGGGTTATTTGTGCAAGATAAAATTACAAATATTTCGTTCATTCTTACCTCGTAGAACATGAAAATAATTTGCTAGTATCTGCAGCAATGGAGCCTTCGAGGACGACATCCTAAAAAAGACTGTTTGAAAAATGCCTTGTGAAAATGTGTACCAAAAAAGTGTCACTGGCTCCCCTCAGGGCCGGCCCCAGGGTAGGGCGATCCGGCCGGCCGCCCGGAGCGCAATGATCTAGGGGCGCCAAAATCATGGAAAATGAAAATAAACTGATAAAAAAAATTAAGTTACAGGCTTTTATAAAATGCACTAAAAAGTAAATAATATTTTTTTATCATTCTGATATATCAATAAATTATTTTTCATAATATTGCATTGTCATCGGACCCTTGTAAGTATACCAAATTTCATTGAAATCGGTTCACGGGAATTTTCTCAAAAACGCATTGCAAGATTTGACTGATAGTTGACAAGATTAAGAGGCGGCAGGCGGAATTTATCATTTTTATTTCTAAGCACATAATGCAAATAATATAATATATTTAAACATTAAGGCGAAATCTAGTTGAATTCAATTCAACATGACAAAACCACTCAACCACAGCCTTTCAAGAATTGACAAGTTTTTCGGCCCGTGGCAACACCACTGTACAGAAAACAACAATTTTGAAACCAAGCGAAATAAGATCTAACAGCCCTTTTTAACTGCATATAAAAAGGAAGTAGACTTAAAACAAAACATTATTTGTCACTAGACTTCGGCTGGTGCGAAAGTGCAAATTGTCCAGTGCGTTTGGCTTCTGTGAAGGTAAGTGTTTTAATTTTTGTTTTAATTTTTAAAAACTAAAAAAGTCTATCAGACATCAGCCCAAAAAAGGGTGGGGGTAGATTTCAAAAATTAGAATTTAGATCAAAAATGGCTTTTGTGGTATCAAATGAAAGTTGATTGAACCTGCAGTTGAATAAAATTTATTAAATTTTTTTAACCCAGTGGCGCACAAGGGGGGATTTCAAAAATTAGAGTTTACATCAAAAAATGGCTTATGTGGTATCAAATGAAAGTTGATTGAACCTGCAGTTGAATAAAATTTATTTTATTTTTTTAAGCCAGTAGCGCACAAGGGGGGATTTCAAAAATTAGAGAACATCAAAAAATGGCTTGTGTGGTATCAAATGAAGTTGAAGTTGAAGTTGAAGTCTGAAGTTGAATGAAATACATTTTTTTTTAATTCAGTGACGCATAAGGGGAAGTTTTTTTTTTTTATTTTTTTTTTTTTATTTTTTTTTTTTTTAATGTTTGACTTTCTGATATGGCCGCATGAGATTTACTTAAAAAAAACGGGGGGGCGCAAAATTAAGGTTTTGCCCGGAGCGCCAAAATATCTAGGGCCGGCCCTGCTCCCCTTCTATATATACCTACTAGATGACAGTTGTTTAAAGAAACGATGACGGAGGGTAATCGTCGTAGCCAACTCAACAATTGTAAGGCAAGGATAAGAGAGAGACAGAAAATAAATTTTTAATAAATAAACATTTTCCTTGGTTTTATCGGTTAAATGTTTTTATTTTTATTGTTTAGCACACTACACATATTTCGAAAAGTACAAATTTTTCCATCTTCAGGTGCAGTCAATTTATAAAAATTATAGGGACGAATACAAACAGTTTAAAATTTTTTATGGAAAAATTTGTACTTTTCGAAACATATGTAGTGTGCAAAAAAATAAAAATAAAATTTGACCGATAAAACCAAGGAAAATTTTTATTTATATAAAATTCTGCTACGGTCAGGAAATTATCCTTATTCAAAGAAAATAAGTTGTATCTACCTACGGAAAATTGCCAGATTCAAAAGTCCCGCGTTTTTTTGCGCATGAGTAATGAAAAATTGTCGAATAACGGAGATGTGGATAGTACACTCAAAATTTCTTAAATTAAAAGTAGGTATGTAACCGCATGTCATTGATAGAGAATAAAGAGGATATGCTATGACGATGTTAAAGTGTCCGCACCTTTGCATTACATTTTTACGTCATATATCAAACTCGAGATAGTGAAGCTAGTCAGTTTTGGTTAAAATAAATGCCTGTTTAGATTTGATTGTTTTTTTAATTTGGTGTCATCGGCATCGACTGCTAAGGTCATTAGCCTCTATTCAAAGTTCGCTGAATTAAAAAGACTTTTATTCTTTTATTACAATTGACAGCTCAAGTTCAAAAACAACAGAAAAAAAAACAATCTATAACCAATAATATCTTGATTATGATTGAATTCTATAATAATATTCATGTCCCTTTGAGGGCGGGACGGCATTTACAAATTAAAGGTGGCCAATAACGCTGAAGCGTGTATAACGGACCTGAACAATGCCTTTTTTGTTAAATAGCTTCATTTAAATGATTCATTAAAATCATTTTCATTGCGTCAGTCTTATTGAAAAATTATTCACTTCAAAGAAATCAAATTACCACTCAAGTCGACATTTTTATTAAATTTTTCCGTCAAACGAAGTGCGTCTATCGGTCATAACGCAAAATAGTGTTTATGTTGTATCTACTTTATTATATTTCGATGTCGTATGTAGATATTTATGCCTAAAGTAGAAGATAATGATTAGAATATAGAGTACCTCTACACTCAATAGAATATAAAGTAGTATAGTTAACAAATAAGAAACCTCCACTCTAAAAATAAAGATATGAGCATTATAAGACTAGAGCTGTAACTCGAATTGGTTTGTTATTGTTATCTTAGATCTCCGAGCAAATATACTTATGAAGCTTTTTCAAAAGGTATTTTTCACAAATAAAGCATACCTACATTCCCCATATTATTATAGCTTATAAATATAAAATATGTACTCTAATGCTATAAATTATTTTATTTTATCGCAAAACACAACCCGTAAATTGAAGGTGTTTTCAAATTTGGTAGCGGTGTCTTCTAAAAACTTTTTAGCATACTTTTATTATAAATAACACCAGGGATAACGTCACAAGGCAACCCATTTAAATTATCAGTAAGATTATTTTTGCCACCAGTCTAATGACATTTATGTTTAAAAGGACAGATATGAATTCGAGGGACGTTAAATTGGTGATTCTTGCCTTATCTGGACTAAGGCTCCACGGACAAACCCGTAGTAATAAATAAATAATTTGATTTTGAACGGAAAACCATAACAGTTCACACCTTCACCCTGCACTTATAAAACTATTTGCTCCTTTTACCTCTTGGAACAATTATTTTTACTTAATAATTTTCAGTTACAATAAACGGTGTTGAAAAAAGTCCGATTTAAAGAAAAAAATTAAACGGCATAAGTGATTATTCTCCTCGTTCATTGACTCACATCGTTAAAATGTTCATTATTGCCAATTTACAAATACATATTTTTTAAAAAATGCTCTTTATAAACCATCGAGACTACGGTACACCCATTTGCCACACCATTTTCTGTACCATTGTCCAATTAGATCCGTTTCTTTGTCCAATTTTAACGCATATGAGTGTTTTATTTGTCTAACAGTTTCTTCAAAGCGATCCAGCGATAGTCGCGATCCTAGAGTGCGTTGGACCACAGAATCGTCATGCATTCTAATCGAAAACCGTCGCTTTTTGCACGTCTTTTTAATTCAATAATCAAATAGTTCATGTAAATAAATGACTATCATCGTTCTCAGGCTACTTAGAATAAATGTTGCCGATGGAATGGAAATGGGTTCCGACGCAAAAAAATGCGGTTCTCACGATAATGTCTCTAAGCGATGGCGATGGTCGAGGTTTAGTTTACTTGCTTTTACTAAATTCAAATGTCGTCAATTATTGATGGTGTGTTTTATCGACTTAACGCTTTTAGTGGAAAATGTAATAATTTGAGAAGCATGAAGTACGCGATATTGAAATGCCCGAGCATTCCTTATGTGAAAGCCAGTGGCGGATCTACGATAGCTTATAAAATAAAATTAATAGGTCATTATAAATATTAATTATGTACCAATAAAGCTGTTTAACAATTGTTACCAACTTAAACAGAAAATTGCAGAAAGAAAATTATTGAACAAATGAAAAACAGTGTTTCACTTTCAGAAAAGAGTGATTTATTAAAAACAACTTTAAATTGTGTTTTATGGATTCATTGTCTAATTATTACTGGTTTCAAAAAAAATTTTTTTTCGACCCCAGACACCATTCGTGTTAATTCATATGTACAATGACCTCCTAGTCCAGTGTAACAAATTTAAAAAGACCATCGCATGCGAGCGCGGATCTGGGAAAATTTCTCAGAGGTAAAAAGTTTTATTCGTCGCCGCCATCTTGTTTTCGTAAAATCTTGAGGTTACAATTTCAGTATTTCATCGAGCAGCACGGGGGGTAATTACCCTTTTATCCCCTTGTATCTGCGCCCTACCGCAAGGCACCACAACTTACCCCGATCCGGTGTTGGTTATTACATGTCATCGTCAGAATTGCAATTTAAACAAATGAAAAATGGATTTTTTTCTGTACATTCAAAATGAGCCTAGTTAGAACACACAGTACATTGCACCCATTTTTCTTTTGGCCGGCAATTTGAAAAAGGTTCACCGCAAATAACGCGAAGAACCTCCTCTTCATCTTTAGGAGCTGCTAGAAGGTATGTTTTTGATTTTGTTTCTGCAAATGTTTCTTTTTGTGCCTGAGAGTTTTGCTTTCTTCTTCAATTCTTTCATTTTCTTTTCTTTATATGCATTTCCAATTCTTCTTTATTCGATGTGTCAGTCCAGATG